GGAACTTACACGAGCTACGAAGCTTCCTATCGCCGATTTGTACCGAGTTTAGCGAGCGTTGCCACCTAGGAAAAATAGAGCCTTCGAGTGGAACAACGAACAGGAGGAGGCTTTCCAAGCTATGTACTGATCCTATGCTAGCGTACCCGGTTCCAGGTGCAACGTTTATTCTATTTATTTATTTACTTATCTAATCAACAAACAAGATGCTTACAGACTATATGACAAATATATACATAGAATAAGGGAAACCCTTATGGCAAGTGCCTTATGAGTAAAATCGAAGTCTAAAGAAGAACACTAAGCATTGAGTTGGGATAGAGTCCTTCTTAATGGAGCATTCATCCCATAAACAGTTTTAACAACACCCACAAAAAACAATTCATTACAACGAAGAATACGTGAGGGAACATTAAAACGAATTTTCATAAGGAGGTGCGAGCAATCTATAGTGACTGCAATTAAATCAAAGACAAAGCACATCGACAACAGAGTACTCCTGGACTCTAAGGACATGAGATTTGTCAATAAACAACGAGAACGATAGGACGAAATAGGGTCTACAAATTTCATCGGATGCAAAGCAAAGCGTATAAAAGCCCTCTGAAAAGACTCCAATCTGTTCACATGAACTGTATGAAAACGTCTTCAAACAAATACCGCGTATTCCAACCTTTGACTTGTTGCCGAATGCACGACGAATGTAGTAAAGGGTAATTTATCGTCTCGTATGTATGTAAATATATGTGACCTGGTCTACGGAAAGGGGGCTTAGGTGTCAAAAAATCAATTTTCACTTTTTGGTTGATTCGGATGGAAGATGAGATGCTTTTTCACGTGGTGAAAAGCAGAAAATCCTAACTTGCTTAGAAGTGTACTAAAAATGTAGAGAAAGAAGGGTAAAAATACGACAAAATATAATTTATTGGTAATGTACAAAATATAATTTATTGGTAATGTACAAAATACATTGAATTATAAGCTATAAAGACATGATTATACACTAGAAAAACGTATTATGGGCCAAAAATAATAATGCTGAGTAGTTTATGTATTTTTCTTTGTTGTCG